CATATTCCTTAAAATTGAAGAATGAACTTTAAGAGACAACAGAGGTTAAGAGTAGGAAAAATTTATTGAAAGAGATAGCTCCTGAGAGACAGGAGGGGACCCAAAAGTGGGTTGCCAGTGAGCCCATTTCTTGAAGGAAGTCTAATAGAGCAAAATCACAAGGTGAGTGTAAAATCATGAGGTGGGTACAGCGTGGGCCAAAACTGTGATTAACCAACAAGATTACAAGTGTAGCTGTTTAGGTAATGTTGATCCAATGGGGAAGCAGGTCACATAGCAAGTGTACACGGAAAGAACAAAGTCCTGTTTGGGAAGGGATGGATCAGGTGGTTCTGGTCATCCACCTGGGTGACTGATGTCTATCTAGACTTTATTGGATCAGGTGATATCACTTATAGTATAATCTTTAATTTATTGCTTATCTCTCTGGGAGGCACATAGGCCTGGTCATTCTGTCCTTATCTCGAGGCCTGGCCTTCTCCAGAGGTCCCTCCAAACCACAGTGGTACTGTGTTTTTGTCTTTTTCACTGACTCCCTCAAGGGCCTAGTGCTGTCTGACTGCCTGTAATACTTCTACCTAACTTAGCTGTTTATAATAATTGCAGCTTATATTAAAAAAAGAAAAGAAAAAACTAGGGTCTTGATTATTTTAGAAATACTGTATAATCAGTAGTAATATAGACAGGTTTGATGGAAGGCAAAGAGAATGATACCAAAGTGCTACATATTTTTGAGGTAAAAGGTAGTATTTGTGGAAAAGCACCTTGAGAGTGTCAGCATGTAAGCAGTACTGACTGTAAAACAGAACTTAAAATTTAGATTTTTTTCCTTTGCAGACGGTCCCTTCTCTAAACTTCCTCAGGCCTAGGGTATAACCTGCTGCCTCTGTCTCGTGTTAGCTCAGATGAATGGGCGGAATATGCAGACGCTGGCACCAGCAGATCAATCTAGTGTCATTTCCACAGGGAAAGGGGAGAGAGGTCTGGTTTCAGGAAGGGACGATATTTCCCACCCCCTCTGTTCCTTACTGTGATAGATCCTAACACCACCTGTACATAGTAAGATGGAGATCTGAGGCAAGTGGGCCCTTCCATCTCCTTGGAGGTGGCTTTGCATAATCCCTTTTTTTCTTTTCCCCAAAATAAATGACCTTCTTAGGTTGAGTCAGCGGCCAGCAAACGAACCTGAGCATATGGATCTAAGTAACTGGTAACAAGTGGACATGGTCCGAGGAAGTTCCTGAGGAGACGGCGAACTTGAGTTTACACCACTCACAGAATAAGGTCGCTGACTGCCCTCACAAAGCATAATTCTCAGGGCAAGCCATTCATTCGGGACCCCTCCTGTCTCTCGGGAGCTATTCTTATTCCCCCCTCCCTGTTGCTATTCTTCAGTAAATTTTCCTACTTAACTTCAAAACAGACAAACAAAAAACCGAAATATAATTTTCAAGACTTGTCAGCAGTCACAGAAAAGACTGATTTAGGACGAAAATGCACACTTAGAAAAGAGTGCAGGCCATCAGAGAGTGAGACACATTTTGGTCTGGAGCTGGGTGTATTTATTTGATTTGGGGGTTAGAAATCTGTGGAATTTGTGAGCCTATGCAAAGCAGAGGTTCGAGTTGCAGGTGAAAAGTGATAGCTCATTCATAGGGGAAAGGCCCACGCAGGTGAAAGTGGACAGCCTATTCCCAAGTGAAAAGTGAAGCCCAGAGGCCAGTTTATCTACAGGCTTTCTGTTGTCTTTAAGAGCTCGCGCTGGAGGAGACTGAGGCTGGAAGACTACATGTCTGAGTCCATGGGCAGCTTAGTGATGCCCTACGTGGGCTGGAGATGTAGCTCATTGTTCAGTTTCCAGTACCAACAGAACAAAGAAAAAACCCTGTGGGAATTGTTTTTGGAATGAGTTTCCTGGAAGGGAAAAATGCTTGAGTAACTTTTGTGTTAAAGGTACAATTAAAAAATTACAGTTTTCTGTTTTTCCCTCCTATTAGCTTTAGTTTTTCTGCCCTCCCTCAAGGCAAGGGAGCAGTGGCTTCATTTGCCTCCTCAGGGTAGAGTAGGTGGGTGTGGTTGAGAACACTCGGTGATGCTGAGGACACTGATCAGCGGGCTTTGGGTTACAGTAACAGAAAACCCATCTCAGGCTAGTTTAAGCAATAAAGATTTGTTGACCTATGTAGTACGAAAGTTATGGTTGGTGCCCTGAAACCGCCTCAGCTATTAGCACTTCTATCCTCTTAATAGCAAGATCACTCCATGCTTCTGCTTCAACAAGCTGCGTTCTCCAGAGGAAGGAATTGTGCGGGGGCCCCGAGTTCAGCCTAAATCTTGAGCTTCATACTGACTGGGTTAATCTCCCTGGCTGTGTTTTGTTTTGCTTCGGGGAAAGTGTCTGGTTCTGTGTTGTCCAGACTAGCCTGGGAATGGCTATGTAGCCCAGCCTCGCCTCAGTCTCACTTGAAGCCTCCTGCCTCACCTTCACAAGTGCTGGGATTACCAGCTGTTAATGTTTAAAGAAACTGGTTGCTTGAACCAAATGTGGAGCTGGAGATGGGGAAAGTACTGTCATGCCGTATGGCTGGTGCATAACGGGGAGGTCACCACATATTGGAGGAGATAGTGACAACATCCCCGAAAGTTTCGGTGGGAGGTGATGATGGTAATTGGAATAGGAAGCGAGAAAAGGTATTTTTTTTTTTTTTAAACTGGAAATCGAACTCAAGACCTTGCACTTGCCAGGCAGGTACTTGTGCCCCTGAGCTATATCCCTGGCCCAAAGGTATGAATTTGAGGAGGAAATTCCAGTGAATTATTTGGGGGAGAGCTAGGGATGATAACAATAAAGAGGGGCATTTCTGAATGAGGTAGCAGCACAGTTAAGACCTTTCAAGAAGGAAGCACTTAGACTAGACCTGAGAGAAGTCCATGACTGGGTTAATGCAATGGTTTTAGGGGAAGGCTGGAGGAGGCTGGAGAGAGAGGCTGATGCCCTGGGGTCAGGTAAGGAGTTCAGATCCACATGCAGTGCGAAAGCAGTGCTGGACTTCACCAGTTCAATGACAAGGTACCTATAGATTTTGAAAAGAATATTGAAGGACTAGATGGGACTGCATGGGTGCAGGGAGAGCGCTTAATGGCTATCTCTGTAGTCCAGGCTGGAATGGGATTGGGATGTGGGGCTGAAGAAATGAGGAGACTAAGGAAATACTTGGTTGTGGAATTAATGGGCTCTTACGATGGACTGGATCTGAAAGTTGAAGGAGATGGAAATGTTTTCTAGCTTGACCCATTTAAATAAACATGGAGGAAACTGGCAGAGGAGTAAGTTTGAAAGACGATCACTTTGTCCATACAAGATTGAGATGCACATTAGATTTCTAAAAACTGTGCTAAAGACTTGGATGGGTCTAGAGTCCGCTGGGACAGGAGTTAGGCTGGAGCGCCCTCATTGGAGATTTGGTGCTAATCCATCAGCATGGGTGCGGAGATGTAGGTCTCAGGATGCAGCATGCCTGGAGACTGACCTCAGTCAGTGTGATTGTCATTGTGGTTTTCAGGAGTTTCTGGAGCCCTTTATTTCTTCTGTAGTTTTAAAATTCAGTCTGTTATCTAGCTTATCTTGATTTTGTTAATCAGTTGACTCTAATTCTTTAATAATTTTCCTACGGTTTTTTTTCCTTCAATTTTTTGGCAGATCTTGGGCATCAAGATTGAAAAATTAATGACTTGTGCTTCTGTTCTTTACTTTAAAACAGTTGCTTAGGTTTTGAGGATAGTTGCTGAAATAATTTTATTCTTTTTCTTCTCCAGGCTGACTTTTAAAAACTTTTCTGCTTACATGTACATTTTGCTGAGACCTGCAGAAGATGTCATTTTAAAAATAATTATTTTGATTCTGTAATATCTGTGCATGATAACAATTCAGAAATTACTGATGGGTCCTCTGCCCTGCCCTAACCTTCAATTAACTAGTTACCTTTCATACAACTCATGTTCCTCAATTTTGTGAATCATTCCATGTGAATGCATATAGAGCTGCTTCATATTCTTAAGTGGTATGCTCCTGTATGGCATAATACAATTATTTACCAATTCCTCATTATAACTTACTTTTTGCTGGCTGTTACTATGTTAGAAATAGTACTTTGAAAAATGATAAATGATATATTTACCAGAGATATATCAGGATGAATTTCAGGAGTGGAATTACTGGATAAAAGAGTTTAGACATTATTATTATTATTTTTTTAAGACGGTGTCTCATTGTGTAGCTCAGGCTGGCCGTGAACTCCCTATGTAGCACAGGCTGGCCTAGAATTTGCAGTGATCCTCCTGTCTCAGACTTCTGAGTGCTGGAATTAACAGGTGTGTGCCACCATGCCCAGCAGACCTTACAATTTTGTTTTGGTCTTGTTGAGACATGGTCCTGCTATGCAGTCCAGGCAGGCCTTGAGCTCACTTTGTAGCCCAGGCTGGTCTCGAACTCACAACGATCCTCCTGCCTCAGCCTCTCGAGTGCTGGGATTACAGGCTTGCGCCACCATGCCCAGCAGACCTTACAAATCTTGATACGTGTTGCCAAATTGCTTTTCCTCTAGATCTTACGTTGTGTACCTTCTCACTGGCAATGATTAAAATGTCTTTTCCGCGCATGCTTGCTGCCTGAGTGAGTTACCCACGCCTCCATCTTCCCTGCCACTCTGAGAGGAAAAGGACATCCCTGCATTATTGAAAAGTGCTCTTAGTGAGCTCTGTGGAATTTGAATCATACAGTGGTTTTGACTAGATTTCACTGAATTAGTGAAATGACTATTTTACCATTGTGATTGTCAGTTCCCATATGTAATTTATATAGTTTTCTTTTGGAAACCACAGCAAGTGGTTTTTTTGTGACTGGAGAAACTATTTAGTACTATATGTATTTGAGACTATACATTATAGGATAGATGCTTAATTTCCAGTGTTTTAAATGGCTACATATTTTTTATTTGCAGGTTTTATCCGAGAGAACTAATATTGAGCTTTGGGTTTGTGCCAACATCATTCGTCTCTTTAACGATGATAACACAATTCCCTTCATTGTACGTTATAGAAAAGAGCTCATTAATAACTTGGACGCCGATTCCTTGAGAGAAGTCCGACAGACCCTAGAGGAGTTGCGGTAAGAAACGCAGGAAGGGCTCAGCCTCATGTAAGGAGGGAGAGGCTGTGTGATCCAGGGAGGAGAAGCGGGGACAGAGTGAATGGCTGTATGTTTGGACAGTTGCAGTGTTTTGTTTCCTTGATTATTGTAATCTGAAGGTATTCCTCCTGTGACTGAGAAAGTCATTTCCAGTCGACGTACTTAGGAGTGTGCAGAGTCCCTCTCCTGGTGTGTGTGTGTATAGCATGGGTGTGTAGCAGTTGTAAGGTGACTGTGTGCCGCTGGGTTTGACTGTTGCCTTCTTTCAGGAACGATTGCGTGTAATGGCAAAATTAGCATTGTCAACAGGAAATGCAGAAAAGTACATATTGGTCTAAATCTTCAACAGCTTGTGTAAAGCTGTCTTAGTACTGCCCAGTCCCTAAATGGAGAGTTCTTTGGAAGTACCAGATGGCTTCCAACCTATAATAACTCAACTTGACAATTTTTTGACTGTAAGACAGCCAAACCATAAGCATTCAGTAAAAGCCATACTTTAAATGTTTTGAATTTTAATTGTTTCCTAGGCTAGCATTTTATGCTGTTGGATCCCCTCTTGCGATCCTGCTGTCCGTCAGCTATGTGATAACGAGGGCAAACAACCCATACCCTACAGTGCCCTGTGTTCTGTAGAGTTTGGTAGGAAGTGTATATTTTCTTTTTCTATTCTTTTAAAAATAATGGTAGTTTAACCTTAGTCAATTATAAGTTTTATATAGTATAGAATCAAAAGTACAGTATCTTCTAAAAAAATATGCCTTTGGACATAATATAATAACTCAGAAATATACATACAAAAACCTCAAGACTAACCGTGCTACTGTTACTCAGAAGCATTTGTCAAAACATTGTTCACCCTTTAGATGTTTATTGCATGTCTCCTATAAACATTGAGTTGTTAATGTGTATGTTCTTCAAGTCTACAACAAGGATCTGATTAAAATTGTGTATTACCCTTCCATCAAGCTATTCAAAAAGGACTAAGGATTATCTTTACAATAATCCTGCTAAGTTTTCTGTGATGTTTGGGGAACCTGTATCTACTAACCTTCCTGTCCTTTTTGTTGAAGTTCTTTTAGTGCCAAGAGAATCAACATACTAGTTTGTAGGGAATTAGTGTTTCTTGGAGAGGCAGAATCAATTAGCCAATGAGAAGTAAAAATGACTTGCTAATCAAAGATGCGTATCTTCCAGGATATAATCCAGCATCAGGGTATAAGAGCTGGAGAGTAAACAAGAGCCTTTACTCTTCTGTAGCAGATCACTGACATGCAAGCTTGTCTATGCCCAGTTTGCTGCAGCTTCCCCCTCCCTCCCTCCCTCCCTCGTTCCTTCCCTCCCTCCCTCCTTCCTTCCTTCCTTCCTTCCTTCCTTCGTTCCTTCCTTCCTTCCTTCCTTCGTTCCTTCCTTCCTTCCTTCCTTCCTTCCTTCCTTCTTCCCTCCCTCCTTCCCCCCTCCTTCCCTCTTATCTTCTTTCCTTTTTTTCTCTTTCTTTTTATACCAGGAATTGAACTCAGGGCCTTGTGCTTGCCAGGTAGACACTGTGCCATTGAGCTATATCCTGGCCTGAGTTTCCTGTTTCTGAAAAGAAGTTGGGAATCTGGGGTTTTATGTAAAAAATTTCTGGACCAAACTAAACTATCCATAGGGTACATTTGGAAGGCCCCAGTTTGCAGATTCTGAAGTAAGCTTTCTACATTAAAGCTTACTTATTATGGACAAAGTTTGAGGGTTTGGGGATCTGAAATTGGGAAAGTGTCACAAACAGAAATATTTTGCTTGGGCTGGGGATATAGCTCAGCGGCACAAGCACCTGCCTGGCAAGTGCAAGGTCCTGAGTTTGATTCCCAGTACCAAAAAAAGAATAGTTAACATAAAAAAGTTAAGTACCCTAACAATCATTGTAAAGAGACAAATAGAAACTTGATGTCAAGATTATTATTACTATTTTCTATAAAAAAACACTTCTCCTGCAAAAGAGTTCCATACTTGAATATTAGTAGAGGAATATCCCTCGACATATATGGGGGCATTGCCTGGCCCTTAGATGTTTCTCCAGAATATAGACATTTATTTTTGGTAATGAGATATGGTCTCTACCTTTTCTTAAGCTCAGAATTTTCTATAACTAGAGCTTTGTTTCTCAACTTGTTAATTGCTGCCTGTAGATGAGAAGTCCTGCCACTTTTTAAAAGATGAAATAAGAGAATAGAAAACATAAGAGGGTAGTTTCTATAGTAAAAGTAAATACTGTTTTATGAAAGATTGTTTCAATATTACATATGCATGTATAAGTTGGGTTGGAAAGTCAAATATATTTCTTGGTATGCACTGCCATTAGGAAGTGAATTAACACGTTCCTGTCGGCTTGAACCACTGGTGATGCACATATGACTGTCCCATCGGCTTGTACTACTGGTGGTAGAAGTGGTGCAGTTGTGCCTGTACCCCTGGTGGCTCAAACCACCCGGCAGCAAGATATATGAATTATGACCCCACCATGAAGTTAGATAGTGCAATTCTGGGTAGGAAGAAAAGTTTTCTGCATTTTCTCTAAAGTTATCGCTTTTCTTCCTTCTGTGCAGGCCAACAGGACATAGTGCTTTTGTCATAGTGACCCTGGTAGCTGTCGGTCCTGAACAACAGTTTTGGGCTATCAGAACTGTGAAAGACATAGAGCCTGTAATCTAAGAACTTCATGTTCTGCACATTCTTTCCTTTAATTGACAATCTTCTGCCTTTAGTTTTTAGAAATATAGGTAGATTTACATTTGTATCAGTTTTTTCTTGGTCTTTTGAGACAAGGTCTTGCTGTGTAGTGCAGGCTGGCCTTTAACTCACTGTCTAGCCTAGGCTGGCCTCAGACTTGCAGCAATCCTCCTGCCTCAGCCTCCCAAGTGCTGGGATTACAGGCATGTGCCAGCACGCCTGGCTTATCAGTTATTTTTAATAGTTCACATCACCTGTAACTTGCCTGTCACTTTAACAGTACCATTATTAGGCATATCCTGTAAATAGGAACAGGTCATAAAATGAGATAAGAAGCATTACATATAACAGTAAGATTCAGCTTTATGTGATGGTATGTGCCTGTCATCCAAGTTACACAGGAGGCTAAGACTGAAAGTTCATGGGCAGCCAGGGTACTTTGATGATCTTATCTCAAAATTAAAAAAAACGAGGAGGGGGCTGGGAATATAGCACAGTGAGAGATCTCTTGCCTAGCATGTGTGAATCCCCATTACTGTAAACAAAAGGAAACAAAGTAAAAAGTAAAATTGAATATTCACATTGAAAAACCATTGTAAGGAAGGGGCACTACTGCGTCTCCTCTTCCCTTACCCCTGTGTGTATGTTGGTTTCTGTACATTGCTCCATGGAATGCAGAAGCCTTTTCACATGGAGTCCTGGTTCTCTTGCGTGGAGATTGGTATGTGGAAAACAGTTGTGGGTGAGCAGTGTGACCAGTCGAGCAGTGCCACTCCAGCAGCCATGAGCATTCCTAGTCACTTGGTTTCCATTGGTTTCCAAGCGCCATTATCCGAATTCCAGGACTGGAACAAGGAAAGTGAAGATGAGTCGGGAACATCTTGGAGCAGAGAATGAAAAGTGCCCAAAGAGTGTGGGGCCATGTCAAAAGAATACAACAGGGGTTACTTCTCACCAAATATGGGGCGATACTTAATATGAACGTTAAAGTGGTAGAAATGCATTATAACTACTGAAGAAACCATGAGTCTATAGTGATATAAGTAAACAAGTGAGTAAAGCTTAATCAGAATGGCATAATTACATAGTCCCAAAATACCTCTCCACAAAATACTTACTAAAAGGGAATACAGTTCCACTATGATGGAAAAACCCACAAGACACCACCCTAGTCAAGTGATAAACGTTGCTTAGTAATGGGACAATTGAAAATCATTTGCCACCTGGTAGGATGTGGCAGAAGAACAAGTGTCATTTTTATAATGTTCCCGCAGAGGGACACCGCTGGAAATTAATTGTAAGGAAACATCAGAAGAACTCTAAAATAACTTGCTTGTAGCTTCTGAAAGTGTGAAGGCCCTAAAGAGCAAAGAGAGACTGCAGTCCTGTTTCCCCCTGAAGTGACTCCACATGTGACAGCTCCACGTAACACCTGATTCTGCAGGGAACACTGCACTGCAAAGGACATTACTGACACAGCTGGTGCAAAGAATAAAGTGTCAGTTCCGAGGATAGATGATGATAATCGATGATCTAATGAATTATTAGGTGATACTAATATCAGTGTAACTATCAGTATTGGTAATACACTGTTACTGATGGTTACATTGTGATTTTATAGGAGATTGTGGTTTATAGGAAATATATACTCATATTTGGGGATGCTGTTATTTTCACATGATTTAGGAAGAAAAGTATTCTTTTTACTTTACCTAAAGTTTTTCTATAAATTTGAGAAAGCCTCAGAAAGAAAGTTTTGCTATACAGGTCTTACATATTACAAAAGTTTTTATTTTCAGGGCAGTTGCAAAGAAGGTTCATAGTACAATACAGAAGATTAAGAAGGAGGGAAAGATGTCTGAGTGTTTGTTAAAAGCCTTGCTGAACTGTAAAAGTTTTGAAGAGCTAGAACATGTGGTAAGAAACTGTTTTTATACTTTAGTGCCTGAATATAGTATGATTTGGGTCTTTTTATAATTTAAGACCAAGACATGAAAGTCCGAAATCATTAGCCGTCATTATCTAATTCATCAAAATATTTATCTTTTATCCAGTAACTTTTTTTTATGCTAGGCACTTTGGTTTACAAGTATGACAGTAGATAGTTCTTGTCTTCAAGGAGTTCCCAGCCAACTGGGGAAAGAGAATAGATTATACAAATGTGAAGGGTAATTGAGAGGATTAAATTGGAGACAGACATGAGTGTAGGTAATTGATACAATAGTTGGTACAGTTGGCCCTGTAGTTATTTGTGAGTTCTGTATTTGCATAGTCAACCAATTGTGGGTTAATAATATTTGAAAAAATTGTCTGTGTTGATCATTATAGTTTTTTGTTATTGTTCCCTCAACAAGTATAACTATTTATATAACGTTTGCATTATATTAGGTATTTATAAGTAATCTAGAGATGATTTAATGTATACAGGAGGGTATGCATAGGTATATGCAAATATTGTTATTTTCTGGGATGGGTTTGAGCATCTGAAGAGTTTTGTATTTATAGGACTGGGAAGGGTGTTCCTGGTACCGTTCTCCCATGGATGTTGTGGGAGGGTTGTATTGGAAACTATGGGAATGGAAGAACTCATTTGAGGAGAGCTTAGGGTGAGCATGTCAGCTTTTGAAGTGTGGATGAAGAGGGGAGAGCCTACGAAGATAAGAAAGAAGTGGTCAGAGATATAGGAGGAGAGTCCAGAAGTGGTGGTACACGAAACAGTAGGGAATAGAGCTTTAGAAGGAGGTAATGGTCAGTAGTTAAATGTAGCAGGGAAGTTTGGCAAGATAGGTTCAAACAGGTATATTTTATAATTAAGAGATCATTGTGGATCTTTGTGATACCACGCTGAGCAAGTTATGTGGGAAAAGAAGCCAGGTGGTGGTGGGTAGAGGAGTGGATGTGGCTTAAGCAGTAGAGGCATTGTGTACAGACAGCTCTTAGAGGAGCTGGCATGAGCTGAGCAGAGGGCCTTGCAGTCCGGGCAGTGAGTTTTTTGGATGAGGGAAACTAAACAAATAACTAATCATAAAGAAAAATACGAAGAGTAAGATAAGGCACATACCGCCCTCCCGCAGCGAGTGTTGGCTAGTTAGTATGAATTCATTTCTGAAGGAAGAGGAAAGGGCTGAAGAAGGAATATCTACAGCATTGTCAGTATGGCTTCTGGTTTTGCATGCTAGTTTTAACTTTTTCATTTAAAAACCAAATCCTGTGTTATGTTTTCTGCCTTTCCTCCCTAGTCTGCTCCATATAAAACTGGGAGTAAAGGCACCAAAGCCCAAAGAGCAAAGCAGCTGGGATTGGAAACAGCAGCCTGGACGCTGCTTGAGAACCCAGGGAAGCTCAATCTGCTGTCTTACATTCGACCTGATGTTAAAGGTACCAGCTTTACTTAAGATCAGCAATCTGTCTTTCCCTTTTCTTCCTCTTCCTTCTTTTCTTTTTTCCTTTTCTTTTCTTTTCTTTTTTCTTTTCTTTCTTTCTTTCTGTCTATCTTTCTTTCTTTTAATTCAAATGCATGTTAAAAATGGCTTCATTAAATAATATCCACACAAAACAATATTACAGCACATAAAGAATAAGTAATTATAATAAATCCTGTAACAGACCTATTGCTTAACCATTCAACTTTTCTTTCTTATGAAGTGCTTGTTCTAGTCATTTTCCCATTTTTATGTTGTTTCTCTTTTACATAATAATTTTAAAGTATTTTTAAGATAGTCTTCGTTACTTATATGTGCTCCAGATCTTTTCTCGCTGCTTGTAGCTCGTCTTCTTACTTTCTTTATGCCATCTCTTGGCAGATAGACAGTCTTAGTTTTATGATTTATTAATCTTTTAAGATAATCATTTTTTTCTTTTAAAAAAAATTACTTATATCCTAAGGTTATGAAGATTCTTGTATATTGTCTTTTAAAGCTTTTATTCGAATTCTAAAAGTTTAAGTGTAAAATTTACTTCTATCGTTGTGAAAGAATTTCAGTACTGTGCACAAGGTGTAAATTAAAGCCCCATGCCTATGCTTCTGCTTTGTAGGGAATAAAGTATCTTTTCCTGAAATTTACCTCCAAGTGTATCTTCCTATTCTTCTGTATGTGAGAGAGAATGCGAGAGGGAGGGAGGAAGGGAGAGATACTTCTGAGAAAAACCCAAGGAAATGACGATTTGACTCATGTCCGAATACATTGGTTTTACTGTCAAAATGAGTGTTACGGTGTGAACTTTCTGGATAACAGTGGCTTTTTTTCAGAATTGCTTTTAGGATTGAGTGGGGAGATGAATGATCTTTTTTTAAAAAAAAATTTTTATGTTTAAAAAACTTGTGTATAAAGAATACATGATGTTTTGATGTATATATATTTATATGTATGCATATATAAATGATTATTGAAAGTAAGCAACTGTACATGATAATCAATATACCAATCATCTCTCAGTTGACATTTTGTGGAAAAAATTCTGCTCTTAGCAAATTTTCAGTATACGGTGTAGTATTATTAACTGTAACACTCATTCTGTTCATATTAGATTTCTAGACTTATTCAGCCCATCTGCGAATGACTGCAACTTTGACCTGTATCTTCCTGTCCCAACTCTAGTTCCTTTTGGCCTGTTGATTCTTGGGGCTGGGAGGCGCAGATGTCTGTAGGGGGCAGTCTCTCATAACAAAATGTGTGTGTGAGGTGCTTAGCTATAGGAAATCATAGCACACCATAACCTGTTTTCATGTTACATAATACAGAAAATTATTTAAAATTTCAACTTGTGATTTAAAAATTGAGTATGTATGTCTGTAAAACACAATTATCTGTTCATACACAGACATACATCTCAATATGTACAAAAATAGACAATCAGGAAAAGAAAAAGCAAAATGGTATTATTTGAAGTTAGAGATGGTTGAAATAAGTAAAATTCAGATTTGCTTATTTTTAAATGTGTATTTATAATTAGATTTTAAATGGTTGCAACATGTAATATTTTAGTAGTAACTGAGACTGAAAAGTCAAGCCTTAAGGTTAACCAGAGTAAGAACTACCTGTGCTCATCCTGGAATGTTGGATGCACCAAGCTTTATCACCTGTTTTCTTCTTATGGCCTTTTCTATTTTGCACCTTCTTTGGTGCAAAGGTCTTGATTTTTACAGATTTAGAGTTTCTACTGGGGAGGTTTATTTTTTGAGACAATCTTCCTTTGTAGTCTAAGCTAGCCTTGAGCTCACTATGTAGCCCAGGCTGGCCTCAAACTCTTGGCAAGCCTCCTGCTTCAGCCTCTTGCCTGCTGAGATTACAGGCATAGACCACCCCGCCCAGCTGGGTTGTAGCTTTAACTGTATCTCTTTCGGGTGTTATGTATGGTGATGTTCGTAGGGTATATCATGATGAACACTAGGTGGTGATATATCTGATCATGTGGGTAGCTTAGGATCCAGTGTCGTTAGGGTAGTAGTTGCAGCTCTAAGAGGACTTTCTGTTTGCTTTCGTCCCTTTCTTTTACCCTGATCACAAATGTAGAAGATTTATAATTAATTACAGATAAGCTAGGTACTGCTTTTTAAAGTTTATGTGAAATGTTTTTCTCTTGTGATCTTACGATGCATGCATGCACACAACCACCTTCCATTCTATTACTGTTTTTTAAAGAAATATTTTCATGGTTATCATAACTCATCCAAGTAATCTTTAAGAAACCAGATATTTTGCCCTGGGCCCCCATTAGACACTTCTTGCTGCTACAGACCAATAAGAATTTGGTTTAAATCAAAAACCTATTCTGTGCCACAGATGGATTGTGTCCTGGAAGAGATAGCACATCCTTGAGTTTTTTCTGTTGTTGTTTGTTTGGTACCAGAAATTGAACTCAGGACCTTGTGTTTGTCAGGCAGGCACTGTGCTGCTGAGCTATATCCCCGGCCCATATCCATGGGTTATACATGATCAAGGGCAGGTTGTTCTGTTATAGATAAGAGATGGTAAAGTGAAGATAAAGTGAAAAGAAGGGTTGGCTGTTCAAATTTTGCTACAGGTTTGTAGGGTTGGAGATTCTCTTGTTAGAATACATTATGAGGAATGGGTATAATCTGTGGATTCTGTGGACCTTATGGGACTCTTGTTATCCGTGGTTTTATTACTAATCCCAATGCTCAATTCTTTGTGATTGGGGAAGGAGCTTTTTCAGAATTGATAAGCTTTCTTTTTCAATTCTTTTCTGCTTGGACTGAGAGGGATATGTGAGTTTAAAGAACTTCCCAGCTGACTCTGATAATTTCTAACTCCCACTGAGACCACTGCTCTAGAGGCAGCCGAAAGCCCTCCCTAGCTAATGAGTATCAGAATCATCTCAGATAGTCTATGAAACAATACAGTCCCACAGTCTGGGAATCTAAATGTATATATTTTGAGACAGGGTCTTCCTGTGTAGCCCAGGCTGGCCTTGAACTCACAGCCATCTTCCTGCCTCTGCTTCTTGAGTACTGGGATTATAGGTGTGTCCATCATGCCTGGCTTAGTATATATAATAGATTGATAAATAGATATAGATGTAGATATATAGATATATATACCTTTTTTTTTTTTTTTGGTACTGGGAATCAAACTCAGGGCCTCATGCTTGCCAGGCAGGCACCGTGCTGCTGAGCTACATCCCTGGCCCTTTTTTTTTAAAATTTTTTTTTTTTTTTTTTTTGGTACCAGTAATCCAACTCAGGACCTTGCACTTGCCAGAATCTGTACTTTTAACAGGTACCTGGTATATTTTATTTTTAGGTACCCAGACTGTACTTTGCAATTCCTTGGGCTAGAGCTCAGTATTATTTTAATTACATGAGATTCATTAATTACAGAAACCTCTCAAATTGTATTCCTTTCATATGGTGGTGTAAGGGTCCTTTGTTATAGGAAAGTCTATCATTTCTTCTTTGTTTCCTTTGTTTGCAGTGATGGTTTGCGTTCTAGGTTCCATCTTTACGCCTGACTTACACCTGGTGTTTTCATTATTCTTTTTGTAATGATGCTCCAGGGTGCTTTGGGGATCTAGGACTGATTGCATAGAGAACAATTTTTCTTTTCTTTATTTTCTTTTATTTTGTTGAGATGCTGCCTCATCATATAGTTCAGACTTGTCTTGAACTTACGATGTAACCCGGGCTAGCCTCAGACTTGCAGTGACCCCCTGCAAGATTATAAGTGTGTGCCACCACAGCCGGCACATAGAGAACAATTTCCGAGATGAAGGTTGATCTAGGGAGGTGGCTGACAGGAGAGTGAGCATATATTGAGTGCTTACTGTGTGCCATCGCTGTTCTGTGTCCTCCATTATACATTACAACCTTCCACCTCAGAAAGGTCATTTGTTACCAAAAATTTCCTTGTAGAGAAATTCTCTTAAAGTGTGAATAGAATTCCTATTAATTTCAGTGACCAAATATCTCTTTAAATTTCTTTAAAATAAATAGTTATTTCCATAGATGGCATTTACTGTCACAATACAACCCCCCAAATGGGCATTTTATTTTTATTAATTGTACAAAAATAAGTTCTGTTCTGCTATTGTCTTTGTGCCTGTTACTCATTAAATCTGTACTCATAGAAAAATGTATCCCTGAGCCTCAGTGCTTGTGTAATTCAAGCCTTAATGTAAAGCAGTAGTAATAAGGCTTTGATACAAACCGAGTAATAAGGACAAAAGAAATGAAATAGAGCAATGCAAATGCTCTTTGCCAGTAGAGGCTGTGATGTGTAAGACTCACTGCTGTGAGTGAGCAAGCCACACGTGCTTGGAGAAAACTAGTTAATCTAATGTGAAAATGAACACCTGACTGATCGATCGGTCTTGCTTTGTGTTGGTTAAACTTAAGGAATTCAAATGGATCATTGAAAATGCAAATAAATGCTTTATAACCCAAAATACAGATAGTAATAAAATTGCTGTAAGGGAGAATATTTTTTGTAACAAGTTGTGTGGTTTGGGATATGGCTATTCACATATTTTTGATTTTTGTGACCACTTCATGAAGGAGCTACTGTTACTCCATTTTTGTAGGACGCTGAGGCAGACACGTCAAGTAGCTTGTCCAATAATTAACAATAGGGCTGGGGATTTAGCTCAGCGGCAAAAGCGCCTGCCTGGAAAGCGCAAGGTCGTGAGTTCGGTTCCTGGTACCGGAGAAAAAACCAAAAAAAAAACCAACAACAATAATTAACAATTACTGGTGGAACTAGATGTAGACCAGCAGCTGGTCCAAAGCTGCATTTTCCCCACTGAGCAGTATGTTATGTAAAGGCCTTGTGTTGCTGCCTTTGGGGACTGGTTTTTGTTACATGTGGAAGCAAGTGACTGCCGTCGTACCTTTCTGTCTTAGGTTTGTTAATTTAAGGTACTATTTTGACTGGAATTTAATTGAATGTGATTTAATTATAGACTTTAAAACTAACGTTAGACTTTTTGTTTTTGTTCTCCCTCACCCCTTACCCTAAAGGGCTTTCTGCACTCCAGGATATTGAGACAGGAGTGCAGCATATTTTGGCAGACATGATTGCCAAAGACAAAGACACGCTTGACTTCATTCGGAAATTGTGAGTAACTCTTGATAGAGTTTTCTGCTTTGTGGACTCGTGCTGTTAAAGGTCACATGGTTTGTGCTAATACCAGTATTCATTAAAAACTTTGTATTCAGAATTCTTTTTTTTAAGTAGCAGAACTCTTTGTTCAAGCAACAGAACCCTACTATATAAAACAGATAAAAGAGAAGTTGTTTTAATTGAATTCTGAGCAGGGAGCCTGGAACTTTGCCTCTTCATCTTCCTTCCACTGGGGCACCTCAGCGGAGGGCTTGGATGAACACCGTTTGAAAACCACTGCTTTTCACAGTTTGTCCCAAGGAGAGACTCACGTTCACTTAGAGTAGTGCCGTTGCTTTTTAAACATGTTAATTGTGACATGTGCTTCATGTATACTATGTCCATAATATTTCATTTTTGGTGTTTACCTGCGATTGAGTTGATTTAGAGTGGTGATACCAGGTATGGAGTATAGTGCTGGCCTCAAAATGAACTTTAGCTATTGGGGAAGGCAGCTTATCCCTGGTGTCACAGTTTGAATTTCAGAGATTGAGTCAAGGTTTTTGCTAGAGTCTACTTGGGCTTACAGATTTATGCCTCATAAAAAAACCTTGAAAACCTGATATTTATGTACTCTGTCATTCTTTTTCTCTCTTTTTTTTTTTTTTTTCCCGGTACTGGGAATCGAACTCATGACCTTGCGCTTGCCAGGCAGGCGCTGTGCCGCTGAGCTAAATCCCCAGCTCCTGTCATTCTTTTTCTGCTATGTATTGGAAGAGAAGACAGGTTTCTGCTAGATCTTCCCCTGCCTTCCCCCACATCTCCACTATTTCTTATTAGGGTTTCTGTTACTCCAAGGGACAGAACTGTTCTGTATTCTCAGTGGCCCTAGCTGGAGTGAGAGGAAGTGGGATAACTGTGCAGGTTGAAAACTGTTTTTCTAAGTAATTACGCTGTTGAAATCTGGTTCACTTTTACAGATTGCTATTGGAAACTATCCTAGTACATCCTTTCGCTTCACTTCTTAGCTTTTAATTGACTGTGACTGCCTAATTCAGTGGTTAGAGAAGGATGATATTTAGACTAGTTTTACTGGTCTGATTCCTTAGATAGTTTTGATGTCTTATGTAACTGTAGATTGAATCTGAGTAGATCTGTAGGACATATGCTAGCATGCTAGGCAAAGAGTCTTTTTGATGAGTTAATAACATCATTTTCATATTGGAGCATCATTAAGCAAATACCATTGGGTAATGGCTTAACTTCTTTGCTATCTGCAGTATATGTTAACAACTACTTCTGTTTTGAACATTTGTGTATCTGAGCAGGTGCCAAAACAGATACATTTGTATTCAGTCATCTCTGGCAAAAGTATCCTCAAAGAAAGTAAATGAGAAAGATGTTGATAAGTTTCAGCTCTACCAGAACTTTTCATGCAACATAAGAAACATTCAGCATCATCAGGTAAATAAGGAAACTGCTTATGCATACTGATAGTAGTGAAATGACAGTACTTTGAATTTGAAGAATTTTATGTCAACTTTTTCTTTTTCTTTAAATGTCAAATTATTATAAGATTGCCATATTTCCTAATTTCGCAGATTGGGAACTGAAGTGTCAGAGAAGTTAGTAAGTGCCACTGAGAATTTTTAGCAGGTATCTCGTTTTCTGGCTGCTAATCTTTCTTGTTAGACTCTGCTTTCTAATATGCTTGCATTTGGGCTCGGTTCTAGATGTATTCCACAGGCTGCTCAAATCAGATGATTTAGAATAAAGTGCTAAACATTGCATTTAGTCATTTCAACTGTTAGTCATTGTATTGAGTCTTCTATTTTTCAGTGTACTAATTTTTTTCTAAAATGTAGGCTATATGGACACTATAGAATGTGACTTTTAAATAATAAAAGGAAAACAGTTACAAATCAAAAATACAATAGTGCTGGCTTTTGTATTTACATATGTGGTTATTTTAAGTGGTATTCTTTATTTCTTTATATGGCTTTGAGTCATTGCCCAGTGTCTTTTCATTGCAGCCAGGACTCTCTGTAATACTTTATGTAGGATAGGTTTATTAGTGGCACACTCCCTTAGTTTTTGTTTGTCTTGGAAGTCTTAATTTCTCCTGTTACATAGCAAAAACTTTAACCAATGAAAAATCCACATAACAAAAAATGTGCTCTTAAACATTGTAAGTGTACAGTAGTGCCTCGGTTCATGATTTAATTGTTTCCATGATTCTGAATTTCACAGAATTTGTCCCATGATTCTGGTTGCAACCAGAATATGTTTGCAGTTGCTTTTATATGTTGCAAGTTCATCCCTCCAGAATCATGGAGCAAATTCTGTGACCACCATCATGGACAGAATGAAGTTCATGAACCAAAGTACCATTGTGTAGTCGGCATCGTTGTGCAGCCAGTCTCCAAAACTTGATTTTGCAAAGTTGAAACTATATCCATTAAATTTTTTGGTCATTTTTGAATGGTAAGTTTTCTAGATATAAAATTCTCTTAGTACTTGGAATATATTATCCACATCTTACGGTATATCTGCCGATGGTTTTTGGTAAGTTACCCTTGTTCATGACAAATCACTTCTGTTTTGCTGCATTTAGGATTCTCTGTCATATATCTTGTAAAAGCTTGATTATAATTTGACTTGTGGCTCTCTTTGAGTTTATACTACTTAGAGTTCAGTGTGAGTCTTAGAAGTGTAGATTAATGTTTTTCCTCAACACTGGGAAATTCTTGGTCATTGTTTCTTCAAATATTCATGTTTTTTTTGAGACAGGGGCTCACTATGTAGTTCAGGGTGGCTTTGAACTCACTTTGGAGCCCAGGCTGGCCTTGAACTCATGGGAATCCTTATGCCTTATCCTTTTGAGTGCTGGGATTACAGGCATATATCACCATGTCTGGCTTTTTCAAATATTCTTTCTGCCTTTTTTCTTCCCTTCTGGGAATCCCCTTCTATGTGGTGGATAGGGTTGGTAGTGTCACACAGGTCTCTTAGGCTCTCTCGCCTTTCCCCTCTCCTTTTCCCCCTCCCTCCATTACCTTCCTCTCCCCTCTACGCCCCTCCTCCCCTTCCCTTCTCATATTGTATAATTTCAGTCAGCTTATCCTTAAGTTTGCTGACTTGTTCTTTGCTTACTCAAATTTGCTGTTGAATCCCTCTAGTGAATCTTTCATTTCAATCACTGTGGTTTTTCAGTCTATAATGTCTACAGTGGTACCTTGGTTCAGCAACTGAATTCTTTCTACAGTTCTGGTTGCAGAATTTGCTCCACGATTCTGGTTGCAGCTAAATTGAAAGCACTGTATTTGGTTGCTTTTTTATAATTTCCAATGCTTTTTATTGCTTTTCTGTATGTTTTAATCATCACTGTCCCAGCTTCTTGTAGGTTTTTGACCATGATTTCCTTTAACTCTGAGGATATTTCAGGTGGTTAATTTAAAATCTTTATTTGGTAAGTTCAGTGTTTAAGCTTCTTCAGGCACAGTTTCTCTTAGTTTTCATTTTCTTTTTTTTTTTAGATACTCTGTCTAGTAAAAACTGGATACATTGAATATTATAACTTGAAAATCATGCTTTCTCCCTAGTTTTCTGCTACTCATTGTTTTTGTCACTCTTCTAAACCTTTAAAAAGTCTCTCTGTTCTTGTTCTGTGTATGGCCCTGAGATCTCTCTCCCTTCAGCTTAGTAACTATTAGTTAGTTTGACAGCGATTTCCTTAAACGTCTAGAGCCCTCTTCATTCCTCTCACCCAGAGAAAACAAAACAAAACAAACAAACTTTCTCAGGTTTTGTAGGTTGGTCGTATGTTAAATTGTATAGATTCCCCCTTTATCTTGTTTAATGCATCTTGTCTGGTAGTCTTCTTTGGTTCCAGGATTGCAAACTGTGCTTTCTTTCTGGGACTTGACCCCACTGTTGTTTTGATGCTAGCCTTACGTGATATGAAATATCTGCCCTTAATCCTCTGCCAGGGCTTTCTAGTCATTTGGCTGAATGAGCCCAGGGCCTTCACACTGAGCTATATCTCCAGCCTTTTTTTTTTTTTTTTTTTTTTTAAACAGGGCCTTGCTAACTTGCAGTCCTCCTAGTTAAACCTCCCTGAAGGATTACTGGCATGTGCCGCCATACCTGGCTAGTAAGATTTATTTACAAAAACAGATGGCAAGCCAGATTGGCCTGTCAAAAGACAAAAATTACAACAAACTGAATTTAAAGATCTTAATTGGCTTTTATTTGCAACTCTAGAACTGAAAAACACCTCATTGTATAAAACAGAATGAGCTCTGTCAATGAGCCCAGCCGAGGTGTTCACTTTGTAGGCAGAAATGGACTGAGGAAAACAGAAACAGAACATGCAGAAACAGAAACTGGCGTGGGTGTTTGAAAGTCACTTTCTTTGTAAAGGTTAAAGCAGAGAAGACTTCTTATCATCCTGGCTAAAACCGTCTTTATTTGGAGACTTGGCTATTATTGTCTTTCTTCCTATCCTCATTTCTTGGAAGATCAGACAGGTAAGCTTGATGACTTGGATTTTCAGCATGAGTGACTCCGTTTTGGTTTGGACTGTTGGGCCAATACAGGTGCTCCACCCAAACCAGTCACCTCCTGTATATTTTATTTAAGAGGCTTATGGTCTACAGTTTGCTGACCTCTGCCCTGGTACATGTCTCAAGAAAGGTATACAAACACCTGGGGTCTGAAACACTAAGTTTTTATTTTTCCTAGGAACTTGTCAGGGTATAATAATTTTTATTTGCACTTTTTGAATATATTACTCTGTTTTTGCCTTCCTTTGTATGCTGTTTTTGAGAAATCTGGTGCCATTTTTTTTTTTGTCTTTGAGACAGGGTCTCGTTATGCAGTTCAGGCTGGCCTTGAGCTTACTTTGTAGCCCAGGCTGGTCTCGAATTCACAGCGATCCTCTTGCGTCAGCCTCCCAAGTGGTGGGATTATAGGTGTGTGCCACCATGCCTGGCCTCTGGTGCTAATTTAATTCTCTGTGTCTTAAAAATGCTAAAGATGTCTTGTGTTGCTTTCTTTTTTTCTTTATTGGTTTTATGGTTGTTTTGAGGGAAGGTTAAGGGAGAGATTTGGAATCAGGAGACTTCTAATGTTCTCTAAACCTGAAAGTCCTTAATAAATTATTTGGTATAAAGAGTGGGTAATGGAATATATTAGAATGCTTTACCTTTTATGTGACATAATTCACATCATTTAAATATAATTTTAAAAAACATATTAACACAGACATGAAAAAGTTTTCATTGTTATTCTGGAATGACACAGAGAGACTTCAGTTATTCCACAAGTATTTCTTTTTCTTTTTTTTTTTTTTCCAGTACTGGGAATTGAACTCACAACCTTGCACTTGCCAGGCAAGTGCTGTGCTGCTGAGCTAAATCCCCAGCCCCCTACAGTATTTCTTGAATACTTATTATATGTTGGGGCTTATTTGAGGGGAGGTTAAGGGAGAGATTTGGAATCAGGAGACTTCTAGTGTTCTTTAAACCTGAAAGTCCTTAATAAATTATTTTAATGTTTATTAGCCTCCTGAGTGCTGGAATTATAGGCCTGTGCCCATATGTGGCTTAAAATTCCTTTAGCAGAGTTTTTTTTGTTTTTTTGGTTTTTCTCCGGTACCGGGAACCGAACCCACGACCTTGCGCTTGCCAGGCAGGCGCTTTTGCCGCTGAGCTAAATCCCCAGCCCCCTTTTGCAGAGTTTTGATGTTATAGTTTGTTCCTTTTATGTGTTTAAAAAATTTTTGGAATACTTGCATTAAAACCAGTGCACTGGTTAACTTTTCCCCACTGTGACTGTGCACCTGAGAAGAACATCTCGGAGGAGGAGGGAAGATTTATTTTGGCTCACGGTTTCAGAGGCTCCACCCCATGGTTATGGGCGCCATTGCTTTCCGGCCTGTAGTGAGCCGGAAAGAGGGCGGAAGGGTGTGGCAGAGGAAGGTTCCTTATGTCATGGCAGCCGGGTAAGCAGAGAGAAAAGGAAAAGTGCCAGAGCAGCAGGGTGCCAGGGACCCATACAGTTCCCGGGGTTATGGTTCATTCCCTTCGGTGAGGCCTCACTTCCTGTTTCTGCCACTTCCCAGCAGTGCCATCATATTATGATCTCATCAATGTGCTGCTCCTCTGATGAGATTGAAAACCCTTATGATCCATTTGACTTCCAAAAGTCCGTTTAAACACATGCGGTTTTTTTTTTTTTTTTTTGTCTTTTTGAGACAGGGTCTGGCCTTGAGCTCACTGTGTAGTAGCCCAGGCTGGTCTCAAACTCGCAACAATCCTCCTGCCTCAGCCTTTCGAGTGCTGGGATTACAGATGTTTGCCACTATGCCTGGCTTGAACACATGAGTTTTTGGTGGAACTTTTAAATCTAAACTGTAACAAATAGCTTTTCTATTTGTTGAAAATAGTTTTTAGATTTTAGTGTTTTATTTATTTTTATTTCTATTCTGTTCTATTATTTATTTATTTTGGTTTTTTGAGACAGCATCTCACTATATCAGGCTGGCCTTGAACTCACTATTTAGCTCTGCCTGGCCCTGAACTCATGGTGATCCTCCTACCTCAACCTGCTGAGACTCCTGGCTGGTCTTAGCATTTTTTTTTTTTTTTTGCTTTTATTTTTGGTACCAGGAATTGAATTTATGACCTTACACTTTCCAGGCAGGTGCTTGTAATCTTAGCATTTTAAATAGTGTGTTTGGTACATGGAGCATTCTGAGTTTATGACTGACACTGGCTGTGCTGCTATCGCTGCTTCTCGAGTGTTCTGTAGACTGGAGGAATAACGTGGTAGGTTACAAAGATAGCTTTCCAGTCCCTATAGAGTTGAGACCTCATATCCCCAGCTCTCAATCTTGTTTTTCAGTCCCTGTGCAAGTATACCAGCTTATATTTCCCCAGAAAATGATGAAAGTTAGTAGAAAAGGAATACCGTTGCCTGGAATGTCTTCATGTATTGTGGAGATAAGTTTTACACCTGTCTACTCACTTCTCCTGGCTGCATCTTGCTTTCCTTTTCCAAATTGGTCCTGAGTGAGATCTTGACTGTGATGTGAACATGTGAGATGTCCTTCACATCCTCCCAGGAGACCTATGTTTCTGTGCTTGTGTGTTGCCTCTTTCACAGATGTCCCACCTCCTGTACCTTTCCGTTGCCTATTTTTTGTCCACTTTACCCCATTACTTTATTTCCAGTTTCTGTCGCAAACTCTATTATTTCCTTCTTGGAAGAACTTACTTCCTATTCCTAGTTTTTTGAGTGTTTTTATTATGAAGTGCTGCTGGTTTTTGTCAAATATTGTTTCTGCATCTTTTGAGGTGATCATGTGACTTTTTAAAAATTGAATTGAAATAATGTTACTTTTTTTTTTTTCAATGTTGAACCAACTGGGAATTCCTGGAATAAATCTTACGCTATCTTGGCATATGCCCTCTTTGTATTTTTCTGGATTTGTGTTGGTATAGTGGATTGATAACTGGTGGTCAACTTAAAACCCCCAGCTGATCTGAGTAAGCGTGGTGCTGGGTGTGGGAGGCTCACCTGAGGATTGTTGCCAGCAGCATAAGAGGCAGAACTGGAGGAGAAGGGGGCTGTTGGGAGCGGAAAAAGGCTGTTGGGAGCTGGTAGAAGCTGTAAGGAACTGTTGTTGGTTTTGTTGGAGGAGCTCGTCATGCTGGCTTTCCTGATGAACTTGGCTGTTTTCATCCTCCGAGGAGCTCGGAACCTCGTTGGTACAGAGAATGGCTTTGGTTCACTTTGGGGGAGCTCTGGTCCTCACTTTGAGCATCACTTCTTGGCTCTGGAGGGGAAGATGGTGCACTGCCAGTCTCCTGGAGAAGCTTGCTGCGTTGCCTTCCCTCATGGTTACTCGGCCATCCTGATCATCGGAGGAGTTTGGGACCTCACTGTTGCTGAGGATGGCTGTAGTACCTTTCGGGGGAGCTCTGGTTCTTCTGAGTGTCACTTCCTGGCTCCAGTGCAGATCCCTTAGCCTGCTAGCACAGCTTCTTCATCTCACCGGCACAGACTTCTGGATTCCACCACTGACCTTTGGGCCTTCCCAGTGGAGATCTGTGCAACAGGCCTGCATGAGATATTGTTATGGGCTCTGGGCTTCCAGTCGCATTCGTGGGAAGCATTGTTATGAGGTCTAGGCCTTAAGTAGGACATTATTGCAGGATCCAGGCCCTCAGCTTGATTCTTGGTCTGTGCTGTGTGGACAGATTTCCTGCACTCTCTTGTATATCATTCTTTGGGTGACTATCATAAATAATCTTATAAAATATGTGTCCTGTATATTATTATTCTCCCTTGCAAATATCCCCCAAACCAACACAGCTGGTAAGATTTTCATCTGTATTTTTAAGAGATAAGACTTTGTAGTTTTCTTGTTGAAGTTTTGTCTTGTTTTGAATCAGGGTTATACAGACCTCATGGTGAATTGGGAAGTTTTCCCTTGTATTTTTGGAAATTATTTTTATAAAGAATTAGAATTGTTTCTACTTTAAATAGTAGAATTCAGTGAGGGAGTCACCCAAGGTTGGACATTTTTTTATGGGAAATGTTTTATATATGTGTATTTATATACTTATATTTTAGGACTTCGTCCATTTTACCTAAGTTATCTAATTTGGCATATAGTTATTCCTAGTGTTCTCTTATGACCTTTTATTTCTGTAAGATCCATATTGTAATGGCCTCTCTCTTGCTTCTTATTTTGGTAATTTGACTGTTTCTTCTTTTATTCTTGGTTCGTCTAGAAAAAGGTCCATCAATTTTCTTGCTATTTTGAAAGGTCCAGTGTTTGATTTTGTTGATATTTTCCCTTGGTTTTCTATTTTCTATTAATTTTCACTTTGTTCTTTATTATTTCCTTTCTTCTGCTCAATTGAAGCTTTGTACTTCTCAAAGAAGTGTTTTAAAAGAATTGCTCTTTTAATATAATATTAAGATCAGGATCTTAGTTTAAACTCCTCCTTTGATGCTTGCTAGCTTTGTGCTTTGGGAAAGTTAGTCATAAGAAAATTATTATAGCACTAAAGACATTATGTAGATCACTAGTGGTAGAGAGGATTACTTAAGATACTGTATTCAGCCAGATGTGGAGGTGCGTGTCTGTAATCCCAGCACTTGAGTGGCTGAGGCAAGAGGATCACCATGAGTTCGAGGCCAGCGTGGACTACATAGCAAACTGAACCAAACCAAACCAAACCACTCTGCGCCCACAGACTAGACAAGCTGAGCAAAGCTCACCCTCTTGAGATGAAAACATTTACAGACAAGAAGTTATCACTGAAATTGAATGGTGACAGACATGTCCAAGGAATATTGCAAGAGTTTGATCTCTTTATGAATCTTGTGATAGATGAATGTGTGGAGATGGTAACTAGTGGGGAACAGGGCAGTACTGGAATCTGGTAATACCAGGAAAAGATATCGTCATGTTGGAAGCTTTGGAATGAGCTCAGATAATGACTTACTGTTCAGCAGAGCAAGCCATGCCCCTCTCCAAAGGGCTAGTTTCACTATGACTGAGAATCGGGTTACATACATTTTCGTGTTAAATTTTTTGTTCTGTAATAGTAAACTTCTGTAATAGTAATAAAATAAACTTCTGTAATAGTAATAAAATTACTAAAATTAAAAAAACTTCTGTAATAGTAATAAAAGGATAATGCATTCAGAGCACTTACTCAGATAGGTTTGATAATTACTAAGCGCTCAGTGAATTGGTAAAAATTAGTAGCTGTTAGAGATTTATCGTGGGGCTTTATACGTTCATATCTTAGGAAAAATAATTTTTTCACACCTATAAAAAGTATCTTCTCCCAACTCTAGACGATCAAAAACTTCAGTTAGTAAAATCTGGAAAGGAGATTTTAGGTCACAGAAGACTTTCCTTGTGAATGTGACTGGCTTTTTCTTGTATTTTATTTTCAAAAAACATTTATAGTTTTCTGTGTGAGAGAGATACATTACTTGAAAAAAGTATAAACAGATCACTATTTTTGTATACATTTGTGGTTTTTGTTTGTTTGTTTGTTTTGAGACAGGGTCTTGCTATGCAGTTCAGGTTGGCCTTGAGCTCACTTTGTAGCACTGGGTGGCCTTGAACTTGCATTAATCCTCCTGCCTCAGCCTCCCGAGTGCTGGGATTACAGGTGTGTGCCACCATGCCTGGCTGCCTACATTCTTGGTAAATAAAAACATAAAAATTGATACAGCTCTTGATTAGCTAGCTGCCTCATTTGTTTCATAAATATTGACTAGTTAAATTTATCATTTATATACTTTGTGGATTATCAGTCTTTATCATATATGTTTTTGTTCAGATTCTAGCAATTAACCGTGGGGAGAATTTAAAGATATTGACAGTCAAGGTCAACATTTCTGATGGAATAAAGAATGAATTCTGTAGGTGGTGCGTCCAAAACAGGTAAAATAACATCCTGATATCATTTTGTACTGACATAGAAAGATGTTTATTATGTATATAATGTCTGTTTTGCTATATTTGTTGTGTATGTTAAGTAGAAAATACCTAGGAGGTGCCAGAAGAAATTATTCATAATGATTATCTCTGGGGAGAGGAACTTTTTACATTAGTATGGACATGTAGTGGGTAACATTTCAGTCAAGGATCAGCGATAGACTGTATATATGACAGTAGTCTCATAAGATTTTTATGGAACTGAAAATTTTTCTTGGCAGTGAACGCATTGCTGATAAGAGGCAGGAGAAAAAGTTACTGCAGAAAGAGAAGAAGAGCCACCAAGGAAGAGAATAAGAGGGAAGAGGAGGGGATGGAAGGGTGGGCAGTGGGGTTATGGATGTGAGCAAAATGTATTAATCATGTTGAAACCCCCCTCCACCAATATGAACCTATGGAGAAGGGTAAGACAAGAGAGGGTAATGGGGGGTTTAAAATGGTCAAATATGTTATGTGCATTGGCTAAAATGAAGTCATTAATCTGTATAACCAGTAGAAAATGACCGAGTAGGGGAGCAGTGCCACCAGGAAAATTCACACGGAAGGGTTTAGCTGAAGGTTTTGCAGACTGCAACAGGCTCCTTAGATGTTTTATTAATAGAAAGGAATGCTTATGGACTATTATCTGCTTCCAAGCAAATCTATGTTGAACAGTAAAGGAACAAGCTTAGCAAATCACTGAAGCCATTTATCTGAAAGGCTGACACCTCCTTGAAAGGAGCCTGTCCTTCAGGAGGGTTCCAGGTGGACTCATGGTCATCAGAGAAGGTGCTGGCTCCTGGCATGTCCCCCCTTAGGCCTGCTGGTGGGATGAGATGTCCGGGTGAAACCTGTGTAGCCTTGGGCCAGTGTGTGTGTGTTTGTGTCTCAGTTTTTTAACTAAAAAGTATAAAAAGTGAAAATAATTTAAATGGAAAAATGCTTATAGAATAAGAATATAAGAAAATAATTTTGTATAGGTATACATACATACAATGTGTTTTAAGCTAATTACAAAAGTGTTAAAAAGTTAAAAAAATGGTTTGTAAAGTAGTTACAGTAGACCTACTTTATTGAGGAAATAAAAGAATTTAAATTTCCTGTAGGCTAAGTGTGTAGAGTTTGTGAAGTATACAGTTGTTTAAAGCCTCCACTGACACTCTTAGCTCACTATTCACCCAGAGCCGTGTCCCAGCCTGCAGACTCCATGTATGGTAAGTGTTCTGTACAGGTGGACTGACTTACTCATTCATGCATTCACTTATCCATTCATTCTAATTCTAGGAATTTAACCCGGGAAGTGCTGTGCTCCATTCCCACCTTTTACATTTTTTTAAAATTTTGGGATGTGGTCCTACTAAATTGCCTAGGGTGGGCTCTGAACTTGTGATTCTCCTGCCTTAGCCTCCCAGAATGTTGGGATTATACATGTGTGCCATAATGACCGACTCGGCTTTAAATCTTTTATACTCTGTTTTTACTTTACCTTTTCTATGTGTAGATACACAAATACTTACATTTTATTACACTTGCCTACAGTATTCAGTACAGTAACATATGGTTAAACAGGTTTGTAGTCTAGAAGCAGTAGGCTATCCACCCTATAGACGAGGGGAGTAGTAGGTTAAACCGTACAGATTTGCATAAGCACACTTATGTTTGTGCCACAAAATCACCTACCAATTCATTTTTCAAAACATACCTTCATTACTAGGTAATGCATAACTATTTTTCTGTATATTCGAGTCTTTTATAAAGAGGGTGTTTTTTAAAAAAATTAATAACATCCTACTGAAGTATTTTACCCCTTAAGAATGATTGAAACAAAAATATAATTTATGAGATAAATCTTTAAATATATTGTATGTTTAAAAACACAACTAGAATATTTTGCATGTTAAGGACTATTGAACATTAGTTGGACATGGTGGCTCATACCTATAATGCCCTGGATTACTGAGACAGGATAAATGCAAGTGAGAGGACAGCTTGGGCATTTAGCAACTTAGTGAGACCTTCCTTGTCTCAAAATAAAGTTGAAAGAAAAAAAGGGTGGGAGTGGGAATGTTTATCTGTGCAGAAGCCCTGAGTTTAATCCTCAGGCAAATAAATAAATGAATACTAAATTTATTGGATTCTTTAAAAATAGGTAATTTTAATTAATCTTTTATTAAAGAAGCCTTTTAAAGTGGTCCACATATTTGAATAACACTTTTATCTTTTAGTTTTAACTGTTCTAAGAGTATTTGATTCTCATAACAATCTATATGGTAGATTGAGCAGATTTTGTAGCCATCATTTGACCAATGAGAAAACTGATGCAAAGATACAAAGTGACATATCTAGCAGTTAGAAGACTAAGTTTGTAAAGTTTGGGTGTACTCATTATCAGCACTCTGTGACCTTAGCTTAGAAAGATCGCTGGGAATGCAACTTGAAAAGTTAGATGAAATGTTCCTTAAGTGCTTTGTAGCTGGCAATTAACTGCCTTATACTACGTGGTTCTTGTGTCAATTCCATGGCAGGCAATTTACCAAATGCCAGTTCTATGAAGGGTCAGATTATTTGCTGAACTACCAAGTAATACGAATAGGTAATCACTAAGCAAAGTGATACTCTCAGTGGTAATCAGTAGGTAAATTGCTTAAGCCAATTATATATCCATAAAATGGTTCTTTTTTTTATTTTAAAGAGTAAAAGAAGGACAACAAAGCAGTAGGGGGATACACCGAATTACAGACAAAGTGGTAGGACATTATCA